ACTACTACTACTACTATTGATTAAAAAAAAAACTATCATGTTAGAAAGAAAAATAAATCCTAATGAAAAGTGTCATTCATTAATATTTAATTGAATTTCTTTCTCTAAAACAATAGCAACAACAACAATAGGAAATTATATTGATATAATTCAATTCGTTATGATTAATACAATTAATATCCAAACAATAAAATAAGATAATAGAAATATTCTATATGAATTGATAGATTAAAATTAGACATGAAATATTATATTGAAAAAATTCTTTGTCTACCAACTATTATTTAATAAAAAAATTTTTCTTTATAGAATACAATGTCTTATTATAATAAGAATGTGAAATATTCGAATTTTTTCAATAGCTTTTACTAAAGTTACGGATCCTTCCAAATTCTCAAAAATTGATCTTAGATAAAGTACATTCAAATCGTATGAAATTTTCAGTCCTATATCATAATGTCATTGAGAGATATTCAACAAACCAAAGTCGAAAATAGCTTATTTGACAAGCCAAAATTATCTGTAGACTACAATGCCCTTGTTGCAAAAAATTCTTAATTTTTAAGAGACGAAAAAGAATGGAAATTACAATGCCTGGAAAAGCTCTCAAAAAAGTTGTATTCTAATAATACAGGTACTTTGTTTTTTGGTAATAAGGACAAATTTTAATTCAAAAAAAAAAAGAAAGGTACTCGATCATGCTCTACATCTTAACATATTTTTTTCAAACAAAAAAAAAGACGTCATTGACGATAATGAAGCATCCTTAAAGAATTCTAAGACGCACGATTAAAATAAAAACGGAAAAAGTTTTCCGCTTTATCTCAAGAAAAAAACATATTTTTCAAGCAGAAAATAACGGAAGTTTTTGAAAATGAGGTGCCAAATTAAATGCAAATTATGTTATTTATGAAAGATTAGACTTGGAATTATCTCTTCATGCATTTGTCTCAATTTGCATGTAGTTTGTCTTGTTTTTTTTTTGAGAGCAGATAAGACTCAAAAATAAAAATGCACTACATAAACTATCCCTCGAAGTTATTAAAAGGCATTCTTAATTAAAACATCTTACAATGTATTAGAAGAAGAAAAAAATTTTAAAAAGTCTATGATGTATTCTAGACATTTTTCATTATTTCTAAATGTAGGTATTTTTATTTAAGATGCAAAATATAACAAAATTCGAGTAGCGAGACATTTTTTAGCTTCATCTATAGATTGTTAGATTGAGTTTATTATACTGATCACAAATATATAGATTTCGAAATTTTTCTATAGTCTTTTGAGAGAAAAAAAAAATTTTTTTTGAAAATATTCGAACGATATAAAAATCACTCATTCGAGAAAACTTTTCAAGTTATTTTTATTTTTTTTGTGGTTATTCGCCATCATATTTTATCAACTTTAAAAGTCTAAAATCTGTCCGATATGATTGGACCGGATTTCCTACTATGTTTTACTAGTACCACACTTTACAAATCTGTCTACGTAGGTTTTTTCTTTGTACGAAGAGATCGAGTCAAGTATCTGATTTCATAAGACGAACTTTGACAAACAATATAAAACAAACTTGTTATAGAATGTGTTCTGTGATAGACTTTAGAAAGTCTATATCTCACACATTTTGTGAAACATGATCCTAAAAGAAGTGTTGAAGAATTGTAGTAAAAATTTAACAGACCGTATATGAAAAACATCATGTTATAATATATGAACTATTTTCTTATTACATTTCTGGAGGATTAAGTCAAAAGAATGATGAAAAAATGTGTTATAGAATAGACAGAACAAAAAATATATATACCTCTGTAATTAACAAAAGCAACTACATCATGTTTCACATTTTACTCCCACAGGGATATGCTTACAGTCATTTTACTTTATGTGAAATGTTCTTTAAAAGTCATGAAGGGATGTGCAAGACATTTGATAAATGTAAATTGAATTTCCATTATATGTTCTATCAGTAGGATTTACAAATGCTTCATTACCATCTATATTTTTATGAAAGTTAAATAATTTATATGAGTACCTAAAACAAAAAATGACCTTCTTTTAGTTGAATTTTTTTTTCTACCAAGCTCTACATAACAATGAACTCTATCTAACTGAATCATATAGCGCAGTCTATCAAAACTGTCATTTTAGATAAAGCTTTATCGAGGTGTATCTTCCGAAATGAAGACTAGAATAACGCTTTTATTTATCAGTTGAGATATTTTTGTAAAACTTTTGTCATATTCGGTATTGTATTATACAATAGATATGGTTTTGATTTATTACTATGACATTATTGAAAATAATAATAAAAAAAACATTACATTTATTTTGAAATGAGGATATACGCACCTTTCATAATTTCATCATAGAATCAATGATGTGAAAATAAATGAATAATGACTGTTTGGAAATGTACTTTTTATTTTTTCATTTAAAATAACAAAAATATGATTAATTAATTTCTAAATAAATTATTTCACTAAGAAAAAAAATGCTATTAGAACAATTACTATGAAGTTAAAATGTAAAACATACTGTAGCTAATCCTATGAAGATTGTTTTATTCTATTTATTGTGGGACATATTTTTTCATCATTATTCTTTTATTTAATTCATTAGAAATACAATAAATAAGTAGTTCATATATATTAGCAATAATCTGTCACGATTTATAAAAAAAAAAAGAATTTGCACTACCCACATGCCTGTTGATATATGATCAAACATTGAATATTAACAAAAATCTCATTAGAAAATATGAATTAGTTTCTTATTGCATTTCGTGAGGATTAAATAGAAGACTGATGAAGAAAATGTATCTCGAAATATATAGACTAAAACAATCTACACCTACGATTAACAACAACAATAACAACAACACCTAGATCGTGTTTCATGTTTTAATGCCGCAGGGATTGTGCTAATAGTTTTTTGTTTTCTTGTTAAAATTGATTTCCTCATCTCTCTTTTTAAATTTCCTCAGTTCAATTCGTCTCGACAAAATTGGAATATATTTTTTATAATACTGATCGTAAGAGTAAAAGTGAGAACATCATATCCATTACATCAAACTCATGAACATAATAAAAATATATATATATATATATATATTTTTGTTGTTGTGTTATACGTAATAAATTACCTTAATGATTTGATGTGTTCTTCTAAAGATAGAAGAAAGTTTTTGCTTGTCACGAACAAATGATGAATTATAAAATCGAACATTAAATTAAAAGGAAACTAAAAAAAAATGTAGGGTTAAACAATGTTTTTGACCGGTAATAGAAATAATTTCTTCAAGCAGAAAAGTAACGATCAAATCAAAAGTAATTCTCTTCCGTATAGAAGAAAATAAAAAATTATCGTCTTATTAAAATATATATATGAAAATTGCTAGACAGAAAATAATTAGAAGTAATAGAAGTATGATTCGACATAACGGAAGAATGCATTATTATATAGTTTATCAATGGAAACAAAAGAAAAGAGTCAAATAGAATTTCAATTCGTTTAGTTTTATTTACATGTTTATTAATTGAAATATGATTTTTGTTTTTTCCAACTATTCATTATCGATTTACATGAGAAATATCGAAATAATAATAGAAATAAAGCGTTGAAGTATGCTTTCAAAAAAAGAAAAATGAGAGAGACAGTTCTGAATGATTTGAATAACGATAATTAAGAAAATAGAATTTTTCAATATTCGCTAACGATTAGTAATGAAACCAGGGAATCATAGGTGACAAGGAAGTGCTCCTGCGATCTTAGGGGAAATCAATGGAATATAGTGCAA